GAAATATTTCCGATTTATATAGTAACAATTGAAGAAAAACAAAAAGGCCAACTGAAATATGTTCCCATTACATCGCGTGTCAACATAAAACCACGTATTTCTTTTTACCTATATAGATAAAGCTATCAGTGGTCTCATTAGAGTATAATTTTGCAGAAAAAACTGGTAAATAAAATTTCGAATGATTTAAACCTAAGGTAGTGGTGTACGTAAGTTTACTGGTGGTAGGACCTCTTGTGAGTCCGCGCGGGTGGGTACCACCACCCTGCCTATTTCTGCCGTGAAGCAGTAATGCGTTTCGGTTTGAAGGGTGGGGCAGCCGTTGTAACTATACTGAGATCTTAGAACTTATATCTCAAGGTGAATGGCGCATTTACGTTGTAGATGTCCATGGGCTCCAGTAACCACTTAACACCACGTGGCCTGTGAGCTCGTTCACCCATCTAAGCAATAAAAAAAAATAGTACTTACACAAAATGTTATTCTGTCAAGTCCTTATTCTAATCACATAGTATTTAGTATTTGTTGTGTTAAAAATAAAGATTTGCCTAACTCATTAGCAAAGATAGGCCTTGTACTATTTATTTGTTGTGTTGTTCAATCAACACAACACAAATGTTTGCTCGTTATATTTAAATAATAAGGAGAAACGACATTCTCGACTGTGACGTACGTTAAGTTGACCGCTTATATTAATCATTCGAAGTGTCTATATTAAGAAGAAGACTGCAGTTCTTTGTGCGAAAAATAACTAAATATATAATATGGACATATAAAGAAGCAATATAAAATTACGTTTCTACCTAAGCCTTTTTGTTTCAAATCATTCACCTAATCTCGTCTGTATCGATAAAAACAATTTCACGCTATATTTTTACTTTTATCAATCACTAATGACATATTCTGAATTTCTATAATTTTACTGAGAGTCAATTTCATTTTTCCAATTCAACTATCACTATATTTAATTAAATAAACTGAAATCCAGGCTGTTTAAACACAGATAAAAGTTCTTTTTAATTTTAGCTATTTTTAATCCAAAACAAAAATAGGTATTATTAGACCAATATATTTAAAATTTTGTTTTAAATTTATCTAGTTATACATTTACCTACATTACACATTTAATATTATCCTTTTTTATTAATTTAAACACAACGCAAAACTCAATTCAACATATATGTAGCCAGTTAGCCGCTATATGACTCAACAGAATAAAAATATTACATTATAAGTAACTTAGATATTAATTATAGCACTATTACGTAAAAATATGCTAGGGGGTAAGGGGAGAACGGAGCTTAACATCTATCCGACCCAACTGTCATCCTCACCTGCCCGCGCTAGTGGTTCTTTTTAGAATAGCTAGCGGCGGCGACCCAGGGGTCGCCGTGGTGCTCCCTGCTAGATAACAGACGAGGCAATGGCGACCGAGCAAAGGCGGTATAACCTTACGCCCATCCTCGGATGGAGGAGGCTTCAAGAGCCTTGAGGAGTAAATTCCCTCTAAAAGTGTTGCCGGAAGGACGTGGGGCCCCACCGTGTATATACCCAAGAAAACCACCACCACCATGAATACAACGATTAGAGAATGCGATTTGTTGGATGACCCGACTAACACTCGGCGCCATTCAGTGCCCGGGCTGAATGGTGTGAAATATGCTACCGAAGCTCTTGTATCAAGAGCTAATATTACTGATGGAAGCAATAAGCTGTCCACATCTTTGAAGACATCATTACGATCGTCACATCGTATTGGCACCTGGAATGTCAGAGGCTTACTCAAACCAGGTAAACTTAGCATTGTAGAAAAAGAGATGAAGCGTCTAAATCTTAGTATACTGGGCCTGTGTGAAACACATATGCGAGGAAATGGCCACTTCACAACTGATACGGGTAACATCATGTACTTCTCTGGGTGTGCGGATTCTAGTGAACATGGAGTGGCCATTGTAGTTCCACCCTCCTTAAATAAGTTCGTTCTTGGATATAATCCAGTCTCCGAACGGATTCTCACCATGAAGTTAAACACAAAGCCTTGTATACTCAATATTGTTCAGGTTTATGCCCCAACAAGTACCGCTACAGGATCTGAGATAGAAATTGATCTCCTATACAACAAACTCGACGACGTGTTAGATGCAATTCCAAGTCGGGAGATGATCATGATTCTTGGAGACTGGAATGCTAAAGTGGGCACCACGAAGTTTGACGAACATTTAAGAGAAGTGGTTGGTAGATATGGACTAGGCGTAAGGAACGATCGCGGCGAAAGGCTTATTGACTTCTGCACAAGCAAAAAGCTAACGATAATGAATACTTGCTTTCAACACCATGCTAGACGTCTATACACGTGGGTGTCTCCAGGAGATAGATACAGGAATCAAATTGACTATATCTTAATCAATTCTCGCTGGAGGTCTTCAATAAGCAACGTGAAGACGTTTCCCGGAGCTGACTGTGGTTCTGACCATAATTTGCTTGTAGCAAATTTTGCTTTGCCTTTAAAATCACCAAGAGCACGTACCAAAAGAGTCCCGCAGCTGAGTCCTTCGGAGAGTATTGCATTCCGGCTGTCTCTTGAAGAGAAGTTATCCGACATAATTACTGTCCAATACCCTTCGGCAGACGCCCTTTGGACTAACCTCAAAGAGCTAGTTAATACAACCTTGGATGAAATCCGCAAACCTCAACAACTCGTGCCAAAAAAGTCTGCATGGATTTCAGACCGCACTTGGGCTCTCGCAGAACAGAGAAGGAATCTTAGGGTCAAGGGTATGCAGGACCCAGAGGTGAGAGGTGAATACAGTGATCTCTGTAAGTACATTGATGTGTGTTGCAAAGAAGATAAAAACAATTACATTAATGGAATATGTCGAGAGATAGAAAACCACTCCCACAAATACCNGGACAGCCTTCCGGACTAACGTGTCGATATTGAAGCAACTGGGCATCAAAATCAGACTGTCTACTGTATGTCTGAAGCGGATCCTCGAATATTTTGGTCACATTGCGAGGAAAGACGGCGATAACCTGGAAAAACTTATGATCACAGGGAAAGTTGAAGGCAACAGATCTAGAGGCCGCAGCCATACTCGTTGGTCCGACCAGATCCGCACCGCTTTGGACAGTACAGTGTACAGCGCGCTGCATGACGCCGTGGACAGGGGAAAGTGGAAAAAGATCCTAAGATTGAAGCTCATGGGTGATGGTGGTCACGACCCTCAGACATGAGGAACACGACTCGAGGAGGAGGACGTAAAAATATAAAATCTAAATACAGTTTATTATGACAATGACCCTTTAACTTCTTAACACGAAATATATTATGCCATAGATTTTCACAAAAAAAAACAGTAGTGCGTTTCGGTTTGAACAGTAAGACTACCGTTGTATTGTAAAAGTGAGATTTAGAGCTCATGTCTCAAGGTGGGTGGCGGTATTTACGTAGCCAAGTCTATGGGCTCCGGCACTTAGCAACAGGTGGGATGTGAGCTCATCAATCTGTTAAAGCAATAATAAAGATACTTCTCGCCATTCATCACTCGACTAACATGTCTCATGTCCAATAGTGACTGATTGATTTTTTACTTATACGATCGTCGGCAAAGGCTTTGTCTCCAAGATAATGGTGTAACATGAACTAGTATACATCAGGATGAGGTCTTATTTTCAGCTTTTATCAATCTCGATTAATTATATATCTCTCTTTCGCTTCATCATACCATCTCTACGCAGAAGAAGCAAAACATTATCGACAAGCGTCTTTAAATCAAGCAAAAACGTTTGCTATTGACAATGTTATTGTCATTGGTGACGCTTGTACTCAAACTCAAAGCAGCGAAAGCTTATCAGTACATAGTATAAAGCAAAGTCGCTTTCTCTGTCCCTATATCTGTCCCTTTGTATGCTTGTATCTTTAAAACTACGCAACGGATTTTGATGTGGCTTTTTTTAATAGATAGAGTGATTGAAGAGGAAGGTTTATATGTATAATAACATCCATTAAATAGTGGATAAATCAATAATAAATTACAGTTTCTGAAGCGAAGCGAAGGCGGGTCGCTAGTACAATATAACGAACGATCTTGTACCGCACTAATGACTTACAATTAGACGGGTCAATTGATTACACTTGCACGGTTTTGTACAGTTAGTAAAACAAAAACAAACGAAATTAATAATAACATTATTAATAATAAATGAATGTTTTTTTTTAATACTTAGATGGGTAGACAAACTCACGGTCCATTTGGTGGTAAGTTGTTAGCAGAGCCCATAGACATTTACAACGTAAAGGCCGCTACTCGCCTTAGGGCATGAGTTCCAAGATCTCAGTTTTTACAGTACAACGGATGTATTTCGTATTTTAATTTTGTAAAAATTGTGTTGTTATATGTATATGCATATCACAGCAGTTTATCGCTAACCACATAAAGATTATTCATTTATGTTCTTAAATAGCATTAAAAATTAAACACAAAAGGAAACATTGGTATATTGTTAATAACGTCCGTCATACCATTATTATTACTATATGAAGTCGTCGTGGCCTATAGGATAAGACGTCCGGTGCATTCGTGTTGAGCGATGCACCAGTGTTCGAATCCCAAGCGGGTACCGATTTTTCACGAAATGTTCACGATTGACTTCCACGGTGAAGGAATAACATCGTGTAATAAAAATGAAACCCGCATAATTATAATTTGCGTAATTACTGGTAGTAGGACGTATTCTGAGTACGCACGGGTAGGTACCACCACCCTGCCTATTTATGCCATGAAGCAGTAATGCGTTTCAGTTTGAAGGTTGGGGCAGCCCTTGTAACTATACTGAGACCTTAGAACTAATATCTCAAGGTGGGTGGCGCATTTACGTTGTAAATGTCTATGGGCTCTAATAACCACTTGACACCAGGTGGCCTGTGAGCTCGTCCACATATCTAAGCAATAAAAAATAAATATTATATTATTCTAAGTTATAAAAATAATAATACTCACATTCAAAGATATCCCGTGAACTGAGAAACTTCTCTTTTGTGAAACGAACGAATTCAATAAATTATTACAACGGACACCGGCTCTCAAATAAAACATGAATTTGTAACACATTCTCGATCGATTTATTTAATGATGCAAAAATAAATAATAAAAATATATTTTGTTATTTTAATTTTAAATAACGTACATCGATCGTCCGGTCGGCGTCTAGGATATAAATGCGATGCGACAGTACGAAGCGCTTTTGTTTCAATAAATGTATTCGTGACATCAGCGTTGTGATTGTGAAGCGTTGGTTTACGTACGAGATACAAAAACGTAAAAGAAATTCCTTAGAAACTATTGATGCATTAGCCGACCCGGCAGACTTCATCATCATCATCATCAGCCTGCGGCAGTCCACTGCTGGACATAGGCCTCCCCAAAGCTCGCCACTGAACCCGATCTTCGGTTCTACGCATCCAGTTACTGCCAGCTGCCTTGCGCAGGTCGTCGCTTCATCTAGCAGGAGGGCGTCCTACACTACGTTTGCCGGTTCGTGGTCTCCACTTCAGAACACGTCTACCCCAACGGTTATCGGTTCTGCGACATATGTGACCAGCCCACTGCCACTTCAGCTTACTAACTCTGCGAGCTATATCGATCGCTTTGGTTTTTGCCCGAATAACCTCATTGCGTATTCGGTCTCGCAATGACAAACCAAGCATAGCTCGCTCCATAGCTCGCTGAGAAACTTTTAGTTGGTAGACTAGTCGCACAGTCAGTGTCCACGTTTCGGCTCCGTAGGTAAGCACGGGTAGGAAGCACTTCGTAGTGCCTAAATCGATAAATAAAAGACCTAAACTTTTGTATAAAATAAACTTAAAACAAACAAAAGGAATCCGTCCGACGGGGGACATAACAAAGGAAAAACAAAATTGTTATTTTTATTGAAATCCGAGTATTTTCATATTTATCTACCTTTTAAACCTTCTCTGGACTTCCACAAATAATTCAAGACCAAAATTAGCCAAATCGGTCAAGCCGTTCTCGAGTTTTAGCGAGACTAACGAACGGCAATTCATTTTTATTTAAACGAGTATTTGATACATTATTTTGATTGCATTGCCAGTGTTTTCTCGACTAGCCATGACCAGGGTAGCTTATTAAACTGATACAGACGCCTATATCGTAACAGCAGCAAAGAGACCATAGACCGTCGATCTTGAAGTCTTTTTATTCGTAGAACCGATTTAAAACACGCTCATGGCCCGTTCTTAAGTGGTTACCGTAGTTCATAGCGTATTAAGCATAGGAGTATTAAGCAGTAGGCAGCGGCTTGGCTCTGCCCCTGGCATTGCTGAAGTCCATAGGCGACGGTAACCATTCACCATCAGGTGGGCCGTATGCTCATCTGCCTACTAATACAATAAAAAATAAAAAAAATCATCGATATCGCAACGTAAACACCACCATCCAGCTTAGAGCATGAGGTCGAATTCTCAATAGTGTGGTATAATGGCGGTATCAACTATCAAACCGGAACTGATGACATTACAGAAACAATTCCAATATTTAATGGAGCCGTCAGTAAAGCTTTTTGCTAAAGAAGACCTAATGAACAATTAGAGTTGATTCTTTAACAACGAACCAGAACAATTTACTTATCATTTTTTACTTACTTCTAGTAATGAGGCTTGATATTAGATCCACCGAGAGCGTAAGCGAGCTCACGTAGTTCAGCTTGGGAGAGTTTGTTAACATCTGCCCTAGCGATAGTAATGCTTCGCTGAATCTACCTGCCCATCGGAAACGCGACCCACTGAGAAGATCCAACGAGAAACTCATTGGGCTATGTCCGTGGGGAATCATTTAGGACCTTCGAGTAAAACACCTGTGGTTTAATTTTAAGGCAGCTACTTAATCAGAGGCAGATGTTAATTACATCGTACATACATTATGACTGTCGTCTGAGGTGAAGTTGCATTCATCGTTCAAACAAAGCCTTGTCTTTGTACCGTCCGAAGACAAACGACGGGTATCTTGAGCGCTGTGTGTTTTTGTAGCTCCCTTTTATCGTGTCTTCTCATTATCTCACTTTCGGAAGCTAAATCGTTGAGAAATAATCCGATGTTACTTTGCGAAGGACATTTACAGTTGCAACAAAGACTTCAATTTTATTTACCTCAATCCGACGGAGTGCAGCGTATATATATTTTTATTGCCTAGATGGGTGTACGAGCTCACAGCCCACCTGGTGTTAAGTGGTTACTAGAGCCCATAGACATTTACAACGTAAATGCGCCACCTACCTTGAGAGGTAAGTTCTAGGGTCTCAGTATAGTTACAACGGCTGCCCCACCCTTTAAACCGAAACGCATTACTGCTTCACGCCAGAAATAGGCAGGGTGGTGGTACCTACCTGCGCGGGCTCACAAGGGGTCCTACCAACAGTTATTACGCAAATTATAATTTTGCAGGTTTGATTTTTATTACACGATGCTATTCCTTCACCGTGGAAGTCAATTGTGAACATTTGTCAAGTACGTATCTATTTAGATTAATTGGTACCCGCCTGCGGGATTCGAACACCGTTGCATCACTAGATACGAATGCACCGGACGTCTTATCCTTTAGGCTACAACGACTTCAATCTTACAGCCCACAGCTGGACTTAAGCATAACCTAAGGTAGTATTGCGGTAGGCAGCGGCTTGGCTCTGCCCTTGGCATTCCTGAAGTCCATGGGCGACGGTAACCACTCACCATCAGGTGGGCCGTATGCTCGTCTGCCTACAAAAGCAATAAAAAAAAATAAAAAAAAATAGACTTAACGTATTAGTTAACAATTATTAATGCAACACCGTGAGTGAATTCGCTATAGTAAGACAACATTATAACAATGCCGCGGCTTATATTGATTCGGATTCACAAGCCACATTCCGGTTCGTAGTCCGCATTGAAATGCCCACAAACGTTACTACGATGCAACTATAAACCGATAATGAAATCCGATCTCGTAATTACCAGTCGGTTATGGATGTGGTAAATGCGGTTGCAATTAATAGATTCTGTTGTTTCATTCGTTTAAGCGCGCAAGTATGAGCTCTCTGTTAGACTATGTATCTGGTAACTTCGAACGACTACTCACGTCTTTACGGATCCTCCCGATCCATTAACGGTGCTTTTAGGTACCACAAGCACCGGTCACCGTCCTCGTCGAACCCGTCGCTTGCGACGAAGGGCTCGACGAGCGAATTAACCCATAGACACAGCCTACTGAGTTTCTCGCCGGATCTTCTCAGTGGGTCCCGTTTCCGATCTTCTGGTAGACTCTGCGAAGCACTGCTCTTGCTAGGGCCAGTGTTAGCATCACTCCGGTTTGAGCCCGGTGAGCTCACCTAGAAGTTAAGGTTACGCTGAAATAGCCTCTCAAGGTTATCAGCTTAGCTAGGAAAAAAAACGACTACTTATCAAGTGTCAGGGCTTTAATAGATTAATGACCCGATGTAGACGTATCAAGTGATGCGACTATGCATCTAGTTCAGATAGGGAGGAAGATAGAAAAAATCTAAGAGTGTTACAAAATCAAACCGCAAACCAGTCAACCTTGAACTTGCTTAATTACCGGGGACGTAGTTGAAACGGGTCAGTATTCGTTACAGTTTTCGGAGAAAATATTATTCCAATTCAAAAATAATTCGTCTTGTTTCATTTAACCCCAAGCTCCGGTGACCGGAGATATTTATATTGTATTCTTAACGTGTTGAACTGATGAATCACTACATAGTATAAAACAAAATCGCTTTCTCTGTCCCTATATCCCTATGTATGCTTAAATCTTTAAAACTACGCAACGGATTCTGATGCGTTTTTTTTTTATTAGATAGAGTGATTGAAGAGAAAGGTTTATAATATGTATAATAACATCCATTAAATAGAGGAGAAATCAATAATAAATTACAATTTCCGAAGTGAAGTGAGGGCGGGTCGCTAGTACCTACTAGATACATCTTGAACAGGACTGCCCAACTAACAGTATGAAAATAAATGACAAAAATACAAATATTCAGAACATCATCATTGTCAGTTTCCACTCTACTCGATAAACAGATAACGCGAATATCCTAAGCTCATCCGTTTTTTCGGTGCTCCTAAAGCGAACATTGGAATACCCGGCTTACTCGATCTATGTTGCAAATTAAATCGCCTCAAACAACAGTTTGCTCTCTCGGTGTCATGAAACAAACCGACAAACCTAGTTTATCTAAACACCGACATGAATCCGGTATTGCTTCGTTTGCTATGGAAATGTTCAGGATTAGACTTGCATTTACAATGGGTATTATAGTTCGGTTTCGTTGGAAACTACGGCAAGTTGCAGATTTGTTGGATAAGCAGTTGCATGTATTTATAAGTTGGTACTCGGTGTTTCTAAGTAGTATATTAGTAGATACTACAATTAAACTCCGGTCTAAGTTTGTTGGTGTTGCGTTGTATACTAATTAAGCATGAACTTTATTTATTGTTTTGAGATATTTATTGAACCTTCTTAATTTAATTTAAAGACTCAGTATAAGAGAAATATAAAACTGATGCATAATGCATTGCTCTCGGATTTGAAAGAGTTGGTGTCATGGCGGACGTCGCTCGCTGACACTTTGACGTTCAGAAGTTAAACAGTTGGTCATAGATAATAATAAGTCCTGGTCATAAATACTGTGAAACCTAAATACACTTAATATTTAAGTTGTTGGTTATCACTCCATAGTAGAAAACAAAGTCGCTTTCTCTGTCCCTATATCCCTATGTATGCTCAAATCTTTAAAACTACGCAACGGATTTTGATGCGGTTTTTTAATAGATAGAGTGATTGAAGAGGAAGGTTTATATACATAATAACATCCATTAAATAGTGGAGAAATACTGTTATTTTTGAGGTTTCTAATGTGATGTGGTAAATAATTACATTTTTTCCGGTTACATTGCAAACGCATGCTGAACTCTACGAGATATCTCTGGAACGGCTGGACCGATTTTGACGAGACTTTCACTGATAGGTAGCTGATGATATGGCTACTTTTAGGCTACTTTTTTTAGACTAGCTTCACGCCGCGGTGTCATCCGCGATATGACAATAACCGCGGGTAACATCGCCGGACTCGGCTATCAATAATAAAATTTAATGTTTCCAAAGCGAAGCGAGGGCGGGTCACTAGTCATTAAATAAATGCATGGTAAGGTGATATTGGTCAAAATCATAAATTTGAAGATCACGCAATTATGATTAGTTTTTTTAATGTTGGATTTTTGGAGCTTGGGTGTCGAATCTACTACTACCCTTATTCTTGACATGAATGCGTTTTCATAACATCTCAGCTTGGGAACGATAGGTAAATGCAGTATGTTGAACTTCTATTATCATCGTCCGTGACCATGCTACCATAAAACAGAAGACATTTGACAGCTTCCTGAATCGCACTAACGAAATTTTTAAAAAAAGCTTACATAAATCAAGTTCTGAACAACAACATTAGGTGTGTCGGTCTGATAAATCTCATGATGCCACAATCTTCCCTTTGAGGATTTTTAAAAATCGATCGATCAATTGTATCACCTGTCTTCACATCGTGTCATCGTGGCCCAAAGGATAAGACGTCCGGTACATTCGTATGTAGCGATGCACCAGCGTTCGAATCCCACAGGCGGGTACCAATTTTTCTAATGAAATACGTACTTAACAAATGATCACGATTGACTTCCACGGTGAAGGAATAACATCGTGTAATAAAAATCAAACCCGCACAATAATAATTTGCGTAATTACTGGTGGTAGGACCTCTTGTGGGTCCGCACGGGTAGGTACCACCGTTCTGCCTATTTCTGCCGTGAAGCAGTAATGTGTTTCGGTTTGAAGGGTGGGGCAGCCGTTGTAACTATACTGAGACTTTAGAACTTATATCTCAAGGTGGGTGGCGCATTTACGTTGTAGATGTCTTGGGTTCCAGTAACCACTTAACACCAGGTGGACTATGAGCTCGTCCAAACATCTAAGCAATAAAAAAAAACGCATTAACGTGTCTTATACTGGAAATTGAATTAATTAAAAGCATCCGTAAATTTAATTACGTATAAAACAACCATTCCGTCTAAAGTATCCACAAAACTAAATTTATCGTGCGATCAGCTAAGCGAAAAGCGATCAGTGGTACCAAACACTGCCTATCCAATTAATATCCTAAAATTTGGGACCATTAATTAAGTCCATGACAGGAAGTCCGTTGTGTAACTACGGAATTCACTAACGAAATCACCAGGCAGTTAATTTATTCATAATATTCTCCAGTTTGATCTAGCAGGACTGTTACCTCTAAGCTTCTAGACTTATGACTTTAGGAACGAGAATAGTATTTTTTGTTTCAAAATATTTGTTTATTTGGCGACTAAAATTTGATGTAAAAAATATGTATGTAGTTTAAAAATAAAAACACTATGAAAATAGGTAGGTTGCCTATTTTCATAGTGTTTTTATTTTTATGTTGATACGTATAGCTTGTTATTTTTTCTAAAACAATATAAATTATCCCTGTATATACATAAAATTTACTGTGTGATATTTTTTCAGTGTGATTCTTCCTCATGTCCGAAATGTTATGATTCAATCCTTTATTGAATACTAGCGGCCCGCCCCGGCTCCGCTCGGGTGTTTAACAAAAATTTCAACGATATTTGTCGCTGTTTTATTTTTTTAAATAAAATAACACTTATTGCGGCATAACTATAAGAGTTAGACATATACTGCCGTGACACTTTTTGTAAATAATAATGTGTTCTACAAAGTCGTAGTACATTATTTTATTCTATCATCAATAGATTTTGCAGGGCACGCTATGTAAGCTAAGTATTTTTTTTACACCTTGGGTTACATTATTGGAGTTTTAGTAAGGATCCCTAATTTTTTTCAAAAAAGATTATAGCCTATGTCACTCGGGAATAGTGTAGCTTCCAAATAGTGAAAGAATTTTTCAAATCGGTTCAGTAGTTTCGGAGCCTATTTAATACAAACAAACAAATCTTTCCTCTTTATAATATTAGTCTAGAAGTATAGATAAAAATATTTATTTTATTGCGCACTAAGATTGGCAGAAAACACGAAAGAAACTGATAGAAAAAATGACTTATTTATGACTGAAAGTATGTGTCAAACGCGTAAGATGACGGCAAAGATTTTAAACCATTTTACTGCGAAATCTATTGTAAAAATCAACAGTCCTTATCATCAATGTAGGCTAAATGACACAACATTTGATGCAGAACAAAAAATTAATAACAATCTTATACAATATATCATATAAAAAATTGTTTTATCAAAATGAAACCTTCGAGGGGCAAAATACATTTGTTTGTAGTCCCTAAATACAAAAGGTTAGTTGGAATGTCTGTTTCTGGCGAAAGCCAGTAAGTAGGTACTCCACGTGATTTAATCAAACAGTATACCGTATATACCGTAATGTTTTCTTACTACAAAAATATTTTTGCAAGCCTTGTCTACAAATTATGAGTTTAATACAATTAAAACACGTTTCTCACATATCTACCTAATGATTTTTTCTCCGCAATAATGGATAGTAGGCTATTATCAAACCTAAGATATTTTTTTATGGACCTTGTAGGCAGACGAGTATACGGCCCGTCTTGTGAATGTGATTGTGAATGGTTACCGTTGCCCGTGGACCCCAGCAAGCCGCTGCCTGCTGCTACTCTCAACAAGCCTCGTTTGAAGAATAGAACCACCAAATCTCTTCCTGTGGTTATCATGAAAGGCCACTAAAGGACTCACTAAAGAATGAACAACAACGTTCTTCGAGTAATTTACCAGCATAAAACGATAGCCAACTGTCATTTGCCGGTATGAAGGCGTATTATAAGCCCGAACGAGTAGATACCAACTTATTTGTGCCGTGAAGCAGTCGTGCATTCAGGTTTGGCCGTCGTCGTGGCCTAAAGGATAAGACTTCCGGTGCATTCGTGTGTAGCGATGCACCGGTGTTCGAATCCCGCAGGCGGGTACCAATTTTTCTAATGAAATACGTACTCAACAGATGTTCACGATTGACTTCCACGGTGAAGGAATAACATCGGGTAATAGAAATCAAACCCGCAAAATTATAATTTGCGTAATCACTGGTGGTAGGACCCCTTGGGAGTCCGCACGGGTAGGTACCACCACCCCGCCTATTTCCGCCGTGAAGCAGTAATGCGTTTCGGTTCGAAGGGTGGGGTAGCCGTTGTAACTATACTGAGATCTTAGAACTTATATCTCAAGGTGGGTGGCGCATTTACGTTGTAGATGTCTATGGGCTCCAGTAACCACTTAACAACAGGTGGGCTGTGAGCTCGTCCACCCATCCAAGCAATAAAAAAAAAAAAAAAAAAAAAAAAGAGGTTTGAAGGATACCGTTATACAAAAAAATAGGCACTTCAATCTCATGTTACAAGGTGGGCGATGGCATACACGTTGTGGTGTATGAGTTCCGATCACTAGTTTAAACCAAGTACGCCGCTTTTCCCTCACTAACGTTGTAAGAAAATGTATTCGAAACACCGGCAATTGTATTTTGGAACGATTTCCTTAAGGGACGATGCGGAGGGGTATCCTAACCGGTAAAAAACGTCCGTAACGTAAACGTTTTTTTTATCAATAAAAAACATCTATATCAAATAATAAAAAATGTATACCCGAATAATTATTTTCTTTATACCTCGAATAGAACTTAAAATTAATATTTTTATAATAAGGAACTTCGTTCCTATCCGGTGTCCCGCGACACCACACATCTTTTTTTTTTCAGGATTTGCAACATTTACTGCTTGCTTAAGTACGCGCGGGCTCAAAGCATAAACTATTTTAAACACGCAGAATTTGATTCAACGCTATGCGAATATTTATTTCAATATGCAAATATTCTTGCCAATAAAAAGCCATAGAAAGCTATTACGGGTCACTTGACTTTAATAGGTCTTGGCATCTTCGATTTGAACAAGAGTCGATCGATGCCTTTGTGCCAATGGTAATTAAAAATCTATCCATATTTATTTTACAGACCACAAATTTTCATTGAACAACAAAGGAGAGGCTCTTTGCCGATGACTCTAAAGAACTATTCAGAGAAACCGACAGTAGTACAGGTATGCAATAGACGAACGAGATTCAAAGATCCTGGAGCAATTCGGAATTTTGAAATGCGCAAACATAGATACAGGAAACCTTACAGAAAAGAACAATGCGATGAAAAATACATTACACGTAGCAAAAAAAGAGGTTATAAAAGAAAATATGTTTTGCAAAGAAAGTCGGAGTCATTACCGCCTCCTCGATCAGAAAGGAAAATGAAATTAAAGGGACGCTCTGTAAGTGCCAAGCCGCGATATGAAACAAGATACGTCAGCGTTAGCAGAAGGTAAGTGCATAAATGTGACACAAAAGATCGCAAGGTTTGAAATGTCCGACAATAGTTTGGCCAGCCCCTTAAAATTTAGTAGGTACCTACCTACATATTTTTAGGCAAAAAATACTTAGACACAGTACCTATATGGCGTATGTGAATTTCTTCTTATACTGGGCAAAATTTTGATGTATTTCCTAATATCAAGAGGATTACATTCAAACCGCTGCTAACTTCAACAAAACGTGTGTAGGAATTTTCCGATTCACCTTGTTTTAATAAAACTCATAAAAGCGTACAGCTTTCCGTTTTTTTTTTCTTCGAAAAAGCAAGTCATGAAATACGCTACGCAGAATGAAGTGGTTGCATTGTGCCTATTTCTTTAATTCTCGTTGCTTTTATCGGATTAATCGACGTAAGCTCCGTTTTTTTTACTTCTCTAAATGTAAAATCGCTATTATTATATTGATTACCGGAGCCCATTGGCATCACAAAGTGAGCGCATGAACCGCTAGATGGGTTGAATGATTAATTCCTACTTGTTGAAACTCACGTTACCAAGTGTTTTAAGCACGGAGAGGCTGATAGCGACATTCGCGATGTCTATGGACTCCGAGTTAGTCCAAGGGAAGCCATGAGTGTTTAGTAAGCTGAAGTGGCAACGGGTTGCCCATATTAGCCGGAGAACCGATAACTGCTGGGGTAAACGTGACCGCGAATTGGTAAACGTAGTGCAAGACGCCATCACTCTTCTTTTTTTTATTCCCACCTAAGCTGATGGTCTTGAGAGACCATTTCAGCGTAACCTTAACAAGTGAGCTCACGGGTTCAAACATGACGTCGTTGCTAAAACTAACCCTAGCAAGAGCAGTGCTTTCCAGATTCTACCATCGTATCAGAAACGCGACTCAATGAGAAGATCTGGCGGCGGAGTGACGATCTATGTGGGGTGGCTGGCAAGACCTGGATGAAAGAAGCCAAGGGTCGTGCCGAGTGGCGTGCAATTGGAGAGGCTTATGTCCAACAGTGGACTGCTGTAGTCTAATGATGATGATAATTAGGATGAAGATGAGACGGTGAACTCATCGACTCACCTATAAAAACAAAAAATAAAATCTTATCTTACTAGCGGCCAGATTTATACTCGCAATCAATATCAATCAAAGTGAAACTCTGGAATGCACTAATATTAGATAGACACTGAGTTAGCTAGCCATGTTAGTTTATTCTTGAGACAGTAAGCCTTAAGGGAAATAAGCTTAGATAATATTAAACCGAGAACATTTTAAGCATTTAATGAGAAAACATTTTTATATTTTTCAGCCCCCCCAAAGAGCCACTAAGTCGGAGATGCGCCAACTGTTTCTATAGAGTTTGCTGTCAATTCTATTGCTATCTCACTTGTATAGGGATGTTCACGTTTTGCATTATTTATGTTTTGTAATATTCAAATAATAAAACTGGAATAGTGTGTTTAAAACGTATGTGCATACATAAAATTTACAAAAATAAATTACACCCCAATTTGTTTAAGGGTTTTCAACTGTTGTTTTTAATTCGTTTCCGCATCACGCGAAAATTACTGATCGGATTTTAGTGAAACTGCGCTTTATACCTACCTCATAGAATAGACTTCAAAATCGTATAAAGCTGGCTTTATCTCGCTATGACAACGGAAGCCGAAAAGTTCAACTTTTATTTGCGGGTAATAAGATCGAACTGCATTAAATAATTTAATGCATATATATGAGTACTATACCCTATATATAACGTATTAAAATAAAGCGTATTTTGTTTTCTTTTCATTTATTTATTTAAAAAATTCAAGACGAACATAAACGAGACCCAATCGATTTGTTAACTTCGAGCGATCCACGCTGATTTGCTAAAATCAAACGTATCGCCAATCGTAATACGGATCAAAATTGACGACACGCTTGGATTTTACAAATGTTGCGATTGATCTCGAGTCGATACGTTCGTCAATTACATTATAAATACCGTCGGATGTTTTCATAAGACAAAATACTGGAGCGTACCTATTTGTGGTTGCTATAGACTAGGAGAGGTCCGGTGTTACGCCATAGACAATCTTAAGCCACTGTCAACAACAACCATTTTGAGACGCAAAAACATTATAATCTATGTACATAATAGAAAAAAAAAATTCTTTAACAAGTTTCTTCACAACCCTATTTTTTAGATGAATCTCAAAAGTTTAATTTACGTTGTCATTTCTGTGCATTTCAATTTACAATGAAACTTTCTCGTGGAATAGTTTTTGCGTGGAAGTTGTAGTACAAAGATACGATGATAACATTTATTATCGATAATTTTAATTTATCAAACAATATCGATAAAAATAATAACGGTTGGTTACGCGCAAAAACTAAAACGCAAGAAACGTTTAAAACGATACGATGGCTCTAACGATACCCTTAAAACGAAGAACAATTTTAACAGCTTAGATAGAGATAGAAGATTGAAACGTAGTATATAGACAAGTAAGACAGAAATAACATTTTAATTACCTCAATATTTCTTCCATAATCATCGATAGTAACAAAAGTTACAAGTACTAAGTATTAGTATTATAAAATATATAAACAGCATTTTGAACTTTATCATTATCGTATAGAGTTCAAATTGGATTATTAATAACAATAATATTTTAATACATACATTGAAAATAGTGATACATAAAGTATTCGTTTAGGCACTGGGGTACAATGATCAAGTAACAATTTTGGTTTAACAGCCAAGCAACGAACTGTGAGTATCTGTGAGTATCTGTGAGTATAGTACACCATTATCTTGTGATACGAGCAAGCGATTTCAATGCAACTATAGCCCAATTATACTTTAATATAACCGATTTCAAACATTACTGTGTTACCACTTGGTAATAAGCGAATCATTATCTATTAATACTTATAATTCGGTCTCTCGTAAGCCGTGTGCTTTAATATTCTCTTTTTCGACATTCAATTTCTTTATTCCTTTCTTTGCATCAGCAGAAGTATTAGAATCACAACGTTTCCTCTTCGGACTTATATCGATATTAGTATCGATATTCATCATAGGTAATCGATCATCTTTATCGACCGCCAAATTGCTAATGGACAACGTGAGATCACTAGGGACGTTCCCGTCTAAGCAGTACATGAGCGAATCAGAGAGTTTCTCATCATTTTCATTCGATTTGTTTATTATCGATAAGTCAATAGGTGTGGCGGTTAGAACGGATCTACTGAGTAAATACTCTCTGAATGGATCGGTTAGTGATTTAGTGATGTGATCTGTTGTTATTTCGTGTGATATTTTGAACTTCGGTAGCGGGGCCACGTCGCTGCACAGTGTTGTGTCGAGAGATTTATCGATATGCCTCGTGGGTTCTTGGCTTATTACGAATCTTGTATTTTCGCATCTTAAAGGGCTTATGTCGCCCAGAGATATAGAACGGCTATCGTGATGAGTTTTCTTTCTCGGTTGTGTCCCGTTTATCGACTGCATTGACCTGGAACTAATTATAAAAACATTAGAATAAATTAATTCTTGAACACACTCTTAGTTTTGACTGTAGTCCAGTCGCGGAGCAGGAAGAATTTTGTACGTAAACCTGTTATTACCTGTCTTAGTCACTCCCGCGTAAATATTAATGAGTCTCGCTCGCGCAGATGCAAAGACCGCCGTCGTCATGGAATGTAAACCTTTTACCTGAGACCGTAAGGTTTGTTCTTGTTTGCATGTTGGCCTTGAGTAGTAAGGTAAGTACTAAGTAAGGCAAGCAGTAATTCCGATACAGAGGAAACGGATTCTGATTTTTTAAATTTTTTTTTTTATTTCTGCCGAGTCAGTAATTGTAACTCGATTTTTATAACTATTATAATATAAAATCTAAATAAATAATTGATAATAATAACAATAATTCATTTAATAAGTTAGTATTTTTTTCTCCTTCAAATATTTTATGTAAACCGCACTTAATACAAAAATATTTGTGACAATTGTCGGTAGGTAAAGAGGTCATTGTATGAAATTCTTCCTACTCCGCGACTGGACTATACCAACATTTATAATTAACTCAAATTTTGTTGTGTAATATCGCGTTTCAAATACACTGCAGTTTACGTGATCATATACGAATTCGCTTTGGTTAATTATCGACGACTTTACGAATTATATGACTCAAGAGAACTGAAGAAAATTGCCAACAGGGTGTAGGGCCATAAAAATATTTTAATACTTGACCTTTTTACTAAAAACTCTTTATTGTAACATTTCATTTTCAATCTAACAAAAATTCGAAAATAACTCCAAGTCTGGCAACAATAATTAATGCTCCTATCATACTACTTATTCATATTTAGTTTTCTCATTACATACATGAATATTTAGAATTTAACGGTATTCATTTTAAAAAAAAATGTTTGCCCATGTAGGCAGACGAGCATACGGCCCACCTGACGGTGAGTGGTTACCGCCGCCCATGGACTTCAGCAATGCCAGGGACAGAGCCAAGCCAATTATTACTATATTATAGCTTTAATACTTAATAATACATTTATTAATACTTTCATTAATACTTTCATATAAAAGACTCACCGCTCACAAGAAAAACTAGAACTAGACATTTCGTTGTCGTCGTCGGAAGAGACAAAATCACTATCGTTCTTGGGCGATATATCGTTTTCTATAGTACGATATATTTCAACGGATTTATCCGTGGGTTTGTTCTCGTTTGTATCGGGCATGTCACGTTGCTCCGACGTTATTATCAGCGGCTTGCGAGACCTTGGTGTCATTATCGATTCCTGCAACAATATTACCCTTAGGACTTTCATCTCAACATTTCAAACAGGCCTGTTAAAAATATTGTACGAATATAATTTGCTAATTTTAATGACATAACAAAACAAAAATTTAAAATAGGCAGTAACAGGCGTTGGAGATCAGCTTTCATGCCTATTGAGGTGATAAATAACAATTCTCTGATATGTTTTTTCCTACCTAAGCTGATGGTCTAGAGAGACCATAATATCAGCGTCGCCTTTACTAGTAGGTGAGCTCACGGGGCTCAAGCCTGACGACATTGCTAACACGAACCCTAGCAAGAGCCGTGCTTCGCAGAATCTACCACCGGATCGGAAACGCGACCCACTGAGAAGATCCGGCGAGAAACTCAGTGGGCTGTGTCTGTGGGTTAATTTACTCGTCGAGCCCTTCGTCGTAAGCGACGGGTTCGATGAGAACGATAACCGATGCTTGAGGTCCATAAAAGCACCGTTAGTGGATCGGAAGGATCGGAAATGACGTGTCTGAATTATAATGGAACTATTAATATAAATTCGATGATCGTTATTGACATTGACAATGACAAACAGGAAGCGAAAGATAAAAGAAGCGACACATGCAAAGAGTGAACCGACCTGCATGGCTTTAGACAATTTCTGGGTAGATTTAGTTATGGGCGACATTGAAGCCCTCCTAAAGTTTATCGTGTATGGAGTAGAACATTCTCCGTCGAACGCCGTCTCTGTCATCCCCGGGGTGCTAGTCAAATAGTGCTTTATCTCCTCGTCGCAGAGTCGTGATTTCTTTGGCGTGTCTGTGCACGATAAATCGGAGCCGGTATCTTGGTCGTCGAAGCAGGAGACGCAGGTGGGCGTGCCGCGGACGGGCCCGTTCCGCTTCTGGTACTTCTTGTTCTGTGACGTCACAATTTTCGAACGGAACAATCGCTTTTTGGCGGTTTTCGGCGTCTCGTCCGCGTCGAGAACGCTCAGATTCGGTTCGGAAACGAATTTCGGACTGAGCTTTTTCGATTTGCTCAAAGCTCCCTCGGACAACGTGCTGTCGTTGCTCACGTCCGATTGGTAGTCGTCGTCCAATGACTCGGAACTGGCGATTTTATTGGCTAAATTCTTTAGAACGATGTTCTTGTGTGAGACGTCGACTTTGTCATCGGCGAATCGCATTTTTCCTTTCGCCGTTTTCTGTAATGCATGCGTTTGAGTTTTGAAAGGGTTACAGACAGAAGAGAGACACAATAGTAATAGCAGATGATGATGAATGATTAATCAATGATTAGTACCGAGCAGGCAACTGGCGAGATGTGTAGCAACTGGTGAGATGCAGTAATCTATCATTATACCAAGGATAGCATTGACAAAGGTTATAAAAAGTTCAAGACACTCATATAAATGTTTTTGTTGATAGTTTTTTATTTTCTCTTATAAATATATAGTGTATAAATTACCTCAAATCTAAGCTCAAAGCTACAAATTTCTTATGTACACACACACCTTTCTACGTCATGCAGTGACTCTTCAAAGTGTAACAGAAGGAGAAACTATACACTTCGTAATGTCGTCACTTGTTACATTAGGAAGCAACACTATTTCGTAATTATTAACTTTGCTATTAACTTTCCATTCAAATAAATCCATCGAGACAAACATAATAGAAGAAAGGGGACAAAACAAATATAATATTTTAAAGTTTTATCATCATTCACCTGCCCTTCTCCCAGTCACCTCGGGTTGGTACAACATGTTTTCTTTTTCCATACGATAATATTTTAAAGTTTTATAAACTAATAAAATATATTCTATTAAAAAACACTACCACATCTCTGACCTTGTTGCTACACAATTAGAGAGAACGCGTAACACAGAATGCACAAACAGAAAAGCATTAAAAACTTTAAGCATCATAAACGCACTGACCTCTTCTATGGTATCAATGTTGGCGGTGGAGCATTTCTTTGGCGTTTTATTCAGGAGACCCTTATTGAATATGTGTCTTTTGATCGAATCACCAAAACTTCTGGAGCCTGCCACTTTACCGGTACGCTGTATTTGAATCGGTGTGCCTGCAAATTATGTTACTAACGTTATGCACTCACAGCCCATTCAATATTGAAGTGACTACGCGAGCCTGTAGATGTCATGGGAATTCTGTAGTGGTATATGTTTCTGTTGATAAGACATAAGTCTTCAAGGATAAGTACTAACATGCCTTCTATATCCAGAGGGTTATTATCACTATACAATTGAGACTTCTAGCTGATATCTCACAGTGAGTGTCAAACATTCTGAGACATTCTTCATAGCATCAAGAGACTGTAAGGACAGTTATAAAATGTGACCAGATTCGATCGTGCAATTTGTTAATGCTCCCAGCAAGCAGATAACCAGTTGCATTTCCAAACGTACCGTATCCGTTTTGCCTGTTGAAATGCTTGATCAGTCGTCTCTTTTGATGCGAATCTGGCAATGCTTGTATGTGCGCATAAAGCTGAGCTAGGGCCGTGTCTGTCGGATTAGTTTCGTTTTCGGCTTTCGTCCTGTTCCTATCCACAAATGTGTACACTGTGTTTGCTGCTGTTCTGTCGACAGATGATAGAAAACAAATCAATTTTGACTTCAAAGAGGTTTTAGTATATAAGTTATTCACGAAATATTATTAAAAAAAAGGTATTGGATAATATAAATTAGCTGTATCAACCGTTTGAATAATTATATTAGGTACTGACCTGAGATCCTCATCCACGAGTGAGAATATCAGAAAATAACATTCTTATCTAATGTATCCATAAGTTATAAGTTATGCAGACCAATAAATTCGAATATAAATAATTATGTGACAGTTAAAAACGATAAACCTAGCATATCATTGTTTGATGATCTAGAAAAGCACCGTTCGTATTTGAAAGGATGGGATACCTATTAACGACTTGGACTTTGAGTCTCTTGACTCTCTCTTGAGGTGGTGTCTCGGAGGTGTTGTCAATCACTTTGTTATGTCTATGGGCTCTACAGAACCCTTAATAAAAAGGCAGGCTCTGATATTCTTTGCTCACCTAAAAACAAAACTTCAACAAATCACAAAATCTTATATTCCAAGACCTTCGCTTAAGCGTGGTAGGACCTCTTGTGAGTCCGCACGGATAGGTACCACCACCCTGCCTATTTCTGCCGTGAATCGTGAAGCGTTCCGGTTTGAAGGGCGGGGCAGTCGTAACTATACTGAGACCTTAGACATATCTCAAGGTGGGTGGCGCATTTACGTTGTAGATGTCTATGGGCTCCAGTAACCACTTAACACCGGGTGGGCTGTGAGCTCGTCTACTAATCTAAGCAATATAAAAAAATTCGGTTGTCTGTAAAGTCGGTTTACTGACGATAGTTGAACGTGACAACGTCATAAGAAAATACGACTCAGAGCGAGGTAACGCCGTATGAGTCATGTTTTTCATGCGTGCAGCTGGCTCCATCGAATTATAAGACGTTGTCACGTCAAAAAAAAAATGATAATTTTGAAATGTGACTTTTATAAGTCTCTGCAACATACTTATCAGTGATGCTATCGTCTAAGTTGATATCGGGCGACATGGCACGTCGTCTCCGCAGCGTGAAGTAGGCGGCCGCGTCCGTCGCCAGCCGCCGCGGCGCCTCAAACACCCGCCGGGATTCGCGGATCATGAAGCTGATCACCGGAGACAGAGCTATCGCGTCTGCGTGAAAGTTCTCCGGCGAAAGCTAAAATCATCTATTTATTAATACGTGAACTAAAACTTAGTACCCCGTTTTTACGAAAATTACGAGAATGGAGGAGTATCAAAATTTCCCACACTTATAGGCAATATCGAGGAGTGCAAAATGCTATTTTTTTTTTAATTATGCATAAGAAACAAATTAAACCAATAAAAAAATTACACACACTACCGTGTATTTGAGATTAATTTTATTTGTCTATAGTATAGTCTTGGCGAAATCTGTGATTATAGTTTTTTTTCCTACCTATGCTGATAGCCTTGAGAAGCTATTTCAGCTTCTCCTTAACGTGTAAGTGAGCTCACGGGGTCTAACCGGAGTGTCGCTAGCACTGGCCTTAGCAAGAGCAGTGCTTCACAGAATCTACCACTGGTGAGGGTCTAAAAACACTGTTAATGGATCGGGAGGATCCGTAATGACATGTTTAGGCCGACGTCAACTGTTTACCATTTCCACAGAATCGGAAATGAAAGTTAATTAGTCTTGGACAATAAAACCATAATAATGTTCAAACATATAATTTCAATTAATTATAGTTGAATTTCGACGACTGGGAGATCACTAGTTTATAATTATTTTGTGTCTTCATTGTAACTTTCGCGGATTGTCTGAAACGCATTTACTTCATGAAACTACTTTCTTGACATGATTTTAAAATATTTTAATTTACCTTTCTAGGACACAAAAGATGAGGTGTAAACATTGTGGCCAATGTGTCTGGGGACATCCGGTTTGCTGCCTCGTTGTCAGCAACCAGACGCAGTAGCCTCAGTAGTCTTTGTAAGAAACTTCGGTGCGTAGGACTCAGTAGAAGAAGTAGTAACTGTAGAGCTGTCAAAAGTTTCGTTTCCGATGTCTCAGCATTTGGGGGGTATTGTACTGTGAACGTAAAAAGTATTTTTATTTATATGTGTGACATATTTATCCTCTAATTATTTTTAATTAATCTAGCATTTTGCGGTTATCAGAAACAACACAGTAGACGGTAAAAGAACAATTCTCTGCAAATCAATTAACTAACAAGGTATGAGGGATTCTACAAGTACTGTCCCAAGACCTTTGGGAAGTCAATTAAGCAGTGCAAGTTATTTATTGCCTCAAAAAGCTTGACCTGAGGTATAAAATAATACAGATGAGAAGCTATCTTATATGATTTCCATGCAGACCCAGCACAGAACAGAAGACTTGAACAAAAAAAATATATCTTTATGTATATATTTCTATCCACCTTTTAAAATAAGGTTGAGGTCATAATTGAACTGTTAATTATAACAACTCAATTCCTAAATAGTGTAATTTTGCCCCCGACATTGCTTAAGTCCATAGGCGACGTAACCACTCACCATCAGGTGGGCCAATGCTCGTCTCCTACAAGATCAATTAAAAAAAATTCAGTAGCTTGGTACGTTTCCTTAGTGACATAAAACAATGGAAATCAATTTGAGACACATATTAATGTAATTCTTTATTGATTTTATTAGCCAGAAATTTTTGATATCTTAACCTACCTCTTACCTACATGGTAGGAAGTAGTTAACACTCATGCCAATACTAATACAAAAAGCGGAACACTAACCATAGCATTTAAAAACATGTTGATTATTACCTGCTAATGTACAGTAAGTTTGATAATACTGATCCATCAATAATGGTTGTGGAAGTTCAGCAAGGAATCCTTTGAGTACAGATGCACAATCATGTACTGAAAACTTTCCAGCATCGAGGCCAAGGTTGGAACCAGTTAGTAATAGCTGTTTGAGCTCCTGCTGACGGCTTAGGGACCCAGTTCTTCGAAATATTCCTTCTTGCTGGACATCTATAATTGAAATAATAATCCTAGATTATTGATAAATATGATAAAGTTTATTACTGAAATTAGTCTTAGTTTTTCAGTATTTTAAAGAGATTTTCATTTCTCGACTAAGCTTTGTAGATCAATAAATAAAATAAAAATTCTTTGGTGCTTTTGAAAAAATGGTAGTGGAAGTTTAATTGGTAAAAAGAAGAAAAACTGTTTATAAGACCTACAATCTGCATCTGAGGCAATGTTAGTAATCTCTGAACTAAAAGAATGTATTTGTAATCAAATGGATAATGCAGGTGCATTAATTATTTTTGTTTAGTAACCTTCCCAACACTTACTCAAAATTAACCACTGTCAACTTAAGTGAAATGTTATCATTTTGTACAAAATTTGAACCTTCTCTAAGTATCAAGACAATAGATTGATTATATTATTCCATCTATTGAAGCATTCTATCTACATTTCAACAATATTTGCTTTTTATTCATGTCTAACTATATAAATATAACTTACTTTCTGGCTTCGATAGAAAATCTATCAGCTCATTCAGTCTTGCGATACCATCTTCTGTGATAGACTTAATTTCTGTACTACATTTTACATTATTTGTATTATTTTGACTAGAACTCGTAGTAGAGGACTTATTTTTCTTATGAAAATTCCATCGGAACTGCTTTGGTTTGTCTGTTGAACAATCAACACTGAAAATAAAGTTTTTTTTGTTATTTTATATCCTTCAAATAAGTCTCATACGATTTGAATTACTTACTCGTCAGTGTTTATATCTACAACAAAAGATAGATGCATCCGAACTAAGGTAAAATATTGTTCTAAATTCTCACTTCGGAGCCTTTCTATCAAGGTGATGTCGGAAGGAGACATTTTAATCGAACACGATAATGATCACAGAAAATTTACTAAAAATACTTTATTTATATTTGAACACATAATTACAGTTGATAATATTATTCTTAATACATCTAGCTGATTACAGAAGAACAGTTTTATTCTACATTTTTCTCAAAAAACATCGGTAATCTAAATAATTGAACATAAATGTCTCACACACAGTTACACGACAGATAGTTTTTTAATGTTTTTAAATGTTTTGTAAAATCAAATGTCACTTGCCCACAACGGTTAAACGCTTTCGTTCAGAAATCATTCGAACATTTTTACCGTTAACATTAAGTGTATAGTATACAAACGGATATTTTTAAAATGAGGTGCAGTAAGCAGTAAAATATAGTGTACACCTACCGCAATCTTTCAGTTTTTTAAGATTCTGCAGTAAAATAACAAAAAAGGGAACTTTATAATACCAATAAATCTCTGTCTCTGTCGCTTTGCCGTTTTTTTCTGCAAAGTAGTAGACACGCAAATTTCAAGTTTTGTCTTCCACGATTCGACGCTTTCGGCTATCGTATCCGCTTGGGTACTTAATTTGCCTTTGGGAGCAAACTGGTATGTCGTGTCTACGTCGCAATCTTAGACCTCCTATTCCCTCATCGATTTCCCAAGCAATTGAGGCTGGTAAGCGTCAATTACGCCTTCCAAGTTGCAATTTTAACATTGCGAAATCTTTTTAATTTTTTTGGAAACAAAATTTTTCAATCCAGTTATGACGAGATCGGTACAAGTACACGTGAAAGTACAATTCGTCTATCAGCTCAATGTGGTTCAGCAAACTTAGAAGAGACCCACGCTGGAATCTCGACAGAGCTAAAGTTATCGACGTATAGAGCTCAGAGTCGGCCAGCAAAAGTGGCAGTCAGTTGGATATATCTGCTGTAAATCCTTCGATTCGAATCTATTGAGTGAAGTCTGTCACCCAGCAAAAGAAGTAGTGCACGCACTAGTCAGGCAGGGTGACTATAAAAAAGTAGATGAGAAAAGAAGGAGACCAGGGTTTGTGTCGTAAATTCAGAACATTCATTATGGGACATGTTTCTACGAAAAAGCGGTAAGACACTATAGCCCTCTTTTTGTGACCGCCTCTAACATACGAACCGATCGACTCAGTCCACTAAAATTATACTGTGTTTGTTGTGACATGATTGTATATTTTGGCAGGGAATCAGTCTTGCTTTCCTGCCAGAGGGCATTATACAAAATAATTGAGACTTCATTCTCAATATTCAACCAGATAAAGGACTATGCTACAAAAATTCCTATCTTTTTGCAAAATATCATTTAAATTCGCTAAGAGATTTGCAGATTGTGTAGCCAAAACAGTTTTTTTTTATATTAACATAAATTTCATTTATGTATTTAGTAAAATTACAAATAAATAAAAGCCACAGAAAAGAAAAAAAATCAATATTATAATAATTTTAGTTCACATTATTACAGCCTTTTAACAAATATAAATTTTAATATATTTCCGAAAACTTAAAACATATCATCGTGTCCAAGATCTGCTAGTAAATTAAGCCCTCGTTCTTTTAAAGCTTTTGATAACAATTTTTGTTGATCAATCTTCGCATCTTGTTCTCTTCTTTGAGCATCTAGTATTTCATCTACTGAGACTTCCGTTAGAGGGAGATTTTCTTCTTTGTCTTTGTCCTAAAAAAGAAATATGTTAATTCAATAGTATTTTTAATGTTATCTATTTTACTTTTGATATGCGATTAAAGTTCAAAATGAAACCATATTTTAATATGATGATTAATAAATTCTTAGACATTGGTTATCAATAAGTGGTTATGTCTTTATTGATTTTAAATTGTTCTATTATTGTTGTACTTATTTCACAAAAACTTTACCAATTTTACTTTAATACAGTAAATAGTAGCACTAACTTCATTGTTACCATCAATAAATATTACAAGTACTTATTGTTTCCATATCACCCTGTTCTTTTGGTATCTATAACTATTCTATTGTTTATTGATATGCAAATAAACTCAGCTCACTTCATGATAGGTGGTTACTATGTTACACAAATATCTCTATGACTTCCAGTTACTGGGCTTGAGACACGAGGTCACATATTGGTCTCATTAAAAAAACAGCTGTAATTTAAAAACTAAACTAAAAACATGCTTATATTGTAAACCCAACTAACTATTTAGTCAGACTAAGTAAAAATTTAAGAGCAAAGTTATGAAATTATTGTATTCTTATCAGTCCATAATGCATGTGCAAATTTTTTAATTAATCAGACATCTTAAAGTCGGTGAAAATTATGTTCAAAGATTAAATTACATATTAACCAATATACTACAACCCCAACATTGCAAGTTAATAAAAGCATGATAATAGGTAATAACTCTATTGCATTGCAATTACAGTTATTGCTAAAACATAGTAACATTTCAAATATTCACACAACTCTGAGTTTAGAGCTAGCAATACAGAAATAAATATTTTTCCATACTAAATATTTTAGAATATGTTTCAATGTTGTAGTTAAGTTTACAATTCACTTTAGCCTCCGTAAGCTGTCTGTTCACTGTGCTGATAAGGTTGGCAGCAAGACAGGTTAAAAAAAATTGTTTGGACTAAATTGGATATAAGTAGAAGGTAAGACTGCTAAGGACAGAAAAAATGTAAGCTGTAGTAATAGTCCCAAATGGCTAGTTTTATGAATAATAGTATTACAACATAAGATTAATAACATTTTAAAAATCAAAATAGCTATACATACTATTTCACCAAGTAGAACAACATTCTCTCCTCTAACAATGAAAATGCCTCTCGGAATATCACCGTATTCTTTGCCAACGTGTATTCGTTCTATTGTCTTGTGGAGCACTAGATTAGCGAATTGATCCACGCAGCGCAAATACCCGATAAGCGTCCTTCCGTCACGCAGCAACACCATTAGTTTCTCTTTACAAAATAATAATCGGTTACATTGTATTCAATTATACAGTCAAGGAAGCACAGGTTCGAATAGTGGGCACCTACTGTCTAATTCGTCGAGAAGATGCGCCGTCCCAGCTAAAGGGTTTGTATTACTAGACATTTTAATTGATAGTATTTATTCAATTTTATTCATAAAATAAAGTAAATTTTATAATTTTAGCGAAATTTCGAAAGTTTGCTAATTTTGATGTCAATTCTGTCAATCTTTTATTCGTCCATTAGACAAGCAGAGGGAACTATTTCATACACGCATGTGCTTTAAAAGACAGACCCGAAGCAAATTATTCTATTGCTTTGCGCAAGAACTGAATAGAAATATATTTAAAAAAGATGTTAATAACGACATGGAATTGTATGAGAAGATATGAACTAAAGGAGATAATAAAATGAGTTAATAAAAATTTTTGGATATATGATAGAAGTAATTTAAAATCTCAATAAAATGGTAAAGAATTTGAAATAAGAGAAAACCTTTACTGAATATAAGGTTTTAATAAGCTAAAATTAACAGTAAAATTTGCTTTGATTACATTAGATACATTGACAAATAACGAATAAAACAGATTGACAATGACGTCAACTTATGGCTGATAATTTCAACTAAGAAGTTTACATCATTCTACCGCACTATTTTAAAATATAATCTTTCAAAAATCCTGGCGTTTTATGGACGCGACCAGATCTACGAAGTGTTGGCTCCGGCGGTGGTGATGATGGTAATTCTGTCTCTAGCTCTCTGCTATTATCAAGTACCATAGGTCCCGTCTCATTAGATGACGGAATCTCCAAGTTTTGGTCTTCTGTTTCCGGAAGTGGTTCTGCGACGTTATGATAATCAATAGTGTGTTCATTATATATTCGCAGATCTACCCTTTCTGAACCCAATGGTGCTAGATGACGATTCGACATTGTTGTTTCTCGGCCATCTGGAAGCCGAATGTATGAAAAGTCAGGATTGCTGTGTATCAATTCAACCTCTTCTACTAATGGCTGATATTTATTTGTACGATTAAATTTCTTCATCAAGACTTGTCCAGAATTTGTAAGCCACGATGGAACAGAAGAGCCGTTAGTAGATCTTCGAGGGTGTCTAAACATTCTTTCATGTGGAGTGCAATTTATGGTTGTACAAAGTAATGATCGAATTGAATGTAAGGCTTGTGGTAATACTTGTTCCCAATTTTCTACCGAAAGATTCTTCGTCTTCAGGGCCAAAAGAATCGTTCTCCAAAGAGTAGAATTCAATTTTTCTACTTGACCGTTACCTTGAGGGTTATAAGCTGTAGTTCTACTAGTGGCAATACCTCGAACATGTAAAAATTCCTGTACTTCAGCCAAATATCATAAACAAGTTGTTAAGATGTTTAATCACTGTTTTCGAGCTTACATCTGAGCATGGGAATGCAAACGGGAAACGTGAAAATTCGTCAATCACGGTAAGTATGAATTTGTTATTATTATTTGTTGGTACTGGTCCTTTAAAATCTATGCTAAGGCGTTCAAAAGCAGCCGTCGCTTTGACAAGTTTCCTCTGTTCATCAAAGGTATTTCGGAAGAATCTAGGTTTTATTTCAGAGCAGGTTCGACAAGATTTTGTCATTGTTCTGACTTCTTCAATAGAATAGGGAAGGTTTTTAGAGCGAACCCAGTGAAACATTCTTGTTACCCCTGGATGACAAAGAGCCTCATGCAGCGAGAAAAGTTTTGCAGTACGTGTTTCTACAGTGGCACAAACTCGGGATAGTGCATCAGCAGCATAGTTCTCTTTCCCCGGTCTGTATATAATATCGTATTTGAAAGCAGCAAGTTCCAGTCG